TTGGCTTGAAATTGCTTCCCTGGCTGAGTCAAGCAGTTGCTTCTTGCTGGCTTTGGTATTGATGGAATTTGTTTTACTGGTGAGCAAAGAAAAAAACTTGTGTGGTTTTCTTCTTCCCACTTGTATGTCTGGAGTGGTGAAAGTCAAGGATGATCACAAATTGTCTGTGGCCCTCCTGAGAGGAAGTGCCTCTTAGGGACAGGAGAGGCAGAGAATTACTTCTATCTTGGGGTTCCTGCTCTGTGTAGCTCTGTGTTCCTGGTTCTGGAGGAAAATAGAAGATGGGGAATCCTGTGATGCTGGCCCATCTTTGGCCTGGAGGTTCTGTCCAGGCTTCTCTTCTGTGAACTGATTCCATGAATGTCACAGAACCCTCTCTCCAATAGCACAAGCACAGAGAAAGTCAGTCTCCTGGGCCTTGCAGAGCCTGGACAGGGTGGGTAGAGACAGGCCCAGGGGCTTAACTCTGAAGTGAGGATGTAGCACTGCATCCACAGTGGATTGGGGCATACCAGAATCTGAACAAAGATAGTGGATGGATGGATGGACACTCACAGTGCACAGAGCCTGTCCCAGCCGTCTATGTTGGATCCAAAGCCTGGGTTAGGCAAATAAGCAATAACAGTCTCACCAAAAACTGGGAGATAAAGACAGCAAAGTGAAGAAACCTGTCTATTGACTGCATGGGGCACTGTGGGCTTTACCACAGAGCAGAACTCTATCCAAAGTCTCCCTCCTACATCATCCCTGAGTGGGAAAGGACGGGGTACACCACCTTTCAGCTGCTAGGACAAGCCCTCTATACCCCTACCAACAGGAAGATCTTCAATGCAGGAGCTCTGTTTTGTTTACTAAATTTTGGAATCATATTGATACTTTTATCTTGTGTTCTACTGGGGGAGGTGTTCTATTCCCAGAGATGAGAGAAGAAGTCCCTATAGATCAGCCAGAAGGGTAACAAGTGGTTGTGAACCCTGGTAGGTGGCAGGGGCCACAGGGAGACATTGCCTGTGCGTGGACAGGAGAGGCTAGACGTTTGTCAAAAACGACACACTAAGGACCCCATATCATGTGAGGTCTCTGCTGCTCCCTGATGCCAGGGTTGAAATCCACCACTCGGGAGCACAGCAAGCTGTGGACGGCGTCTTTGTCCACGAGGTTGTAATTATACTACGCATCAAGACTACAGTTGCAGAGACTGGTGTTTGGATTCTGTTTCTCAGAAAGTTTTATTCTTAACAAGATAATAGCTTCTTAGGCTTGGATCTGATGATTCATGATGTTTATTTAATAAAATCCCCTTCAATGGCCAAGGGGATTTTTATTATTTGTTTAAGCAGCAGATATGAAGTACAGTTGCTGTACATGGTTTTGATCATATTTTTTGGAAGGGAACCTCAAGTATTTTTGCAGAGGTGAGGGGTTGCTGGCCATGTTAGAGAATGGAATGGTAATCTCCCAGCCCAGAACCCTCCAGCCTTCCTTTTCCAGGTTGCTTGGAGAATGGATTCTCTTCAGTGAAACTACCACAACTAAGAGTACCAACATTTCCCTAAAGAAATCTCTATAGTTGAGTTCCCTTCCCAGGACCTATGAATGTCCCTTCCAATTAGGAGTTCCCGTGCTGAGACCCCTTCCTCTTTACAATGTGCAGCTGTGTTGTGCTGGACTGTGTTGTCATTCTGGGCAGCCACTGACTCCTGCACACAGAGCCTCAGCCTGGCCATGAGGCTGCTGTGTATTCCATTTATCCCTCTGCAGCCCAAACTGCAGACACAAAATCTCCATCAGGCCATTTGAGGGGAGCAGGCAGCTGCCAAGGGAAGGGTGTGTGGCACGAAATAGAACAGACACACTCTGAGAATCATTGCGTTAAATTAAATCAGTGCTTGCTGAGGCAAGGCCAGCTAAGAGTTCTAAACCCAGGAACTGGAGGGAGGAGAAGCCCCCTGCAACCCTGAGTTGTAGGATCTGGATGGGGAGCAACAGCAGTGCAAAGCACATGCTCCAAACCAGAACTCCCCAAGGCCACGGTGCTATTGGCAGGAAATCTTTGACATCCAAGTGTGATATTTTTGGTTGTTCCCCTCCCCCCCCCCTTTTTCACAGATCCTATCTCAGTGTTCTTACTGACAATTACAGCTGTGTCTGCTTATTGTCAAAATAGCTATTCAGTGAAGTCAAAGAACCATGCAAGGCCATTCCGGGAAAACATAACGAAACAACAAATCATGGTGGTTTGATTAAATTGGTCAGTGGTGAAAAGAATTCATGGCATCTCTGGGTTATTTATCTGAGATATTTTTGATACTGCCCTCCTCTAGCTAAGTCCTGGTCCACAGGCAATTCCATCATGCCTCGATTTCCTGATCCATAACAGGGTCTTGAAATAATTCCCACAGCCTGGGATTGGCTGAGAGCTGAAAACGTGAAAAATCCCCTGGAGGTGTCAGGGGAGGAGCTGATTCCGAAAGTTTGATAGTGTCCTGCTGGAAACTGGACTGTCCATGCCCTGTGGATCCATTGGCCAATGGGTGACTGGAAGGAGACAGATTTCAGGAATTCTAAAAAGGAGTTTATAAAGTAGGAGCAACAGTAGTAGTTGAAGTTTCATAAGGAGCATAATTTTGCTGAGCACTATGTGCCAGAGACTGCGTTAAAAACTGCACTCTGGCTTCTTGGGTGTGCTCCCAGTCCTGCAGCTTCTAGTCCTGTGTGCTCCTCAGCCCCTGCACACTTGTTATCCCCTCATACCTGCTCCAACTGTCTGTGAATCAGGGCCCAGGAATCTAAATTTGAATAAACACCCCAGATAATTCTAGTGTTGCTCAAGTTTGGGTAGTGCTCTCATACCCACCCAACCTTATGGGAGATGTGTGACACAGGCACTTGCAATTAGGGATGGTGGGCACTGCTGTAATATTACCCAGATGAGTGTTGATATCGGAACTCAGTGAGGTCTAGTGACATACCTAAGGTATGGTTAGCAGTGGCCTGGGCTTCTAGGACAGTCAGGAAGCAGTTGGTTCAGCCCTGAGTCATGACAAAGGACTCAGTATGGATGCCAAATGGGAACCAACAAATGGAGTATGTTGCCTACCACTTCATTTCTCCCCAACACTATTCACTGCTTGATCCAGCCCCTGATGCAAGCAAGTTCTGTAAGCCAGTTTACAGTGAAGAAGGTGTGGATGTGTGCAGTTTGGGTGGTGTGAATCCATTTAGGAATTGATGTTTCTGAATGATGCTCAGAGAGAAAACAAATCCCACAATTTCCTGAATGACTCTGTGACTGTTGTAAGCCAGTTAATGCCTACACTTTATCTTGTTTAATCTCTGCAATGAGTCTGAAATGTGAAAAAAAAAACTATTTAAGTGGAAAAAAAGTTTCAAGGATAAATAACTTGTAGAAAACACAGAGGTATCAGCTGTGGGTAAAAAAAACAAGTAGAAATATTTGTAACCTTTGAAGCCACATTTTCTGCAGTTTAACTTTGGCTTTTACCTGTTTGCAAATAAAAATAGAACCACAGGACTTGCTCTTAAATCCAGTGTCCCCAAGCCCTCCTTGAAAATTGTGGCAGCAGAGGAAGGGCAGCCCTGTAGAAACACAATTGGGTGTTTGCCCTCATGGCCCTTCCCTCAATCCCACAGGACAGTAGAAGCCAGAGACGGAAGCTGGACACCCTCTGACCGGGAGGACTCAGGTCTGGAACCAGCACTAACAGGACATGTGCTGAGCCTGCCTGCAGCATCTTCTGTTCTCAGCATTTATTATGTCTTGATTTAATTTCATTTCATAAAATGTTTCTTTCTTTTACTAACTGCAACATTATAACAATAATTAAATGAGAAAGGGTATTCAGAACCAGATTATGAATTTTATGAATAGCACCAGCAAAGGGAATTGGGTAAATGAGGGGGGAAAAGGAATCTCTTTATGGTACTGAAATCTAGATGAACTAGAGTTCAGTGGAACTGTAACCATGTTCTTTGAAATCCCTTCATGCAACCCGTATTTACTGAACACTTATGATGTGTCAGACCTTGCTCTGAGTGTCTGGGATACAGCAGTAGGCAAAACAGGCACAACACCCCTTTACGAAACTCACATTCTAGTGAAGTCAGATAGCAATAAATAAAAGCACAATGAGAGCATGATATTTCATGATAAAGCCATAGGCTCCATCCATAAGGACCACCTGAGAAAAAGTCTTCCTGGCAGAGAGACAGTCAGTGCAAAGGCCCTGAGGTGTGAGCACACTTGCTGCATATGAGGGATTACATGGAAGCAGGCTTGGCTGAAGCAGGGTGACCATTGGGTATAGAAATAAGAAATGAGGAGAGAGAGAGAGAACATTGTAGAGTGAGGTGGAGCTAGACCTCAGGACCCTTGATCTGTGTCAAAGAGCTGTGCTTTCTCTTTGGGATAAGAAGCCACTGAAATGTTTGGGTAGAAGTGAAACATCATCTGGCTACACTCTCTCAGGGTAGCTGGTGAAGGTTCAGGGCAGCAGCAAAGACCTCATGCTGGAGACATTGCCATAATCCAGGAAGAGGTCTGGACCATGGTCATTATCAGGAATTTATTGTCTTGAAATAATTGCCTCTGGGTTTGAGCTGTGGTGTGAGAAAGGTAGAGGGGGAAGGATCCATGAGAAGGTGGGGTTTTCAGCAGCAAGAAGTGAGTAGGAGCTCAGCTCAGACTTTATCAAGACTATGTGCCTATTGGCATTGAGTGGCAGTGTGGAGTAGTGGCTGGTTGTGTTTGATCATTTAGGGTTCAAGGGAGGCAAGAAGCAGGTTGGATGTGCATGTTTGAAGTTCAGGGGGAAAGTCTGAGCTGAGTATATGAATGTAAGAAGAGCTGAGCACTACCAGAAGCGGCAGTGAGGAAGATGGTAGGAGCATTAGGGACCCACTGGCATGGAAGAAGGGACAACCCTATGGAGTGGGCTCCAGAGAGAGCTGAGAACAGCAGGCATCATGGTGGGTAGGGCAATGGGTGTGACCTATGGATGCTGGGGACATCTCAATTCTTGATCCAGGTGCTGGCTGCACACTTGTGGAAACATGTGGAGCTTTACACCTATGGGTTGTGCACTTTTCTGTAAGTGTGCTTATATATTTTGATTAGAAAGCTTTAAAAACATGGAAAGAAAGCAGTCGAGTTTGGCACACTTTTTTCTTTTGAAAAGTTTTGCTGTAAATAGAGAGATCATGTCAAGAGCTGGGTTTTTAAGTGGAAGAAATTATAGCACAGTTGTAGGGGATGAAAATGACCCAAGAGAGAGGGGAATATTGATGCTGTGGGACAGGGTTTGGTGGGAAAGGATTCCTGGAGAGATGTTATGGAGCAGGGGAGCAGGAATAAGCAATGGACATCTTCTCTGTAGCTCCTCAGTTCATCCCAAGCCACAGGAGAGGAAGGAGCTGTGGGGTAGATGTGCCTGGGAATAGAGGAATGGGAAAGCCCTCCTCCAGAGTTCTGGCTCCTGAGCAAGAAGGATGCTTGGGTGAGGGAGAAGGAGGAGCTGGGCCAGGAATGGGCCCAGGGAGTGTGCAGAAGGATTGAGAGGAATAGAGCTGGGGGCACGTGGTGGAAGCCAAGGTGCTCTGGCAGCAAGGCTGGTGCTGTCTGCAGGTTCCACACTTCTTCCAGCTTCATCCTTAGGAGCAGCTACAACTGCAGCTGCCATTAGGCAGAGGGGGATTCACCAGGGTCCTCAAAAACCGCAGAGCAAGAGAGGCAAGTACTGCCTGGAGTAGCAAAGGAGTGGTTTAAGGAATCTCCTCCGAGTCCGAGGGAATTAGGAAGGGAAGAGATAATGTGAGAGCAGCTGGGGAGAGGGCAGTGAAGAGCTCCCATGTGGTATGACTCCCTTCTCCTTCTTTTCTAAATTGAGAATAATTGTATTTTTTTTTACTTTTGATTGGTGCACCACAATTATACATAATATTGGAATTCATTATGCCGTATTTGTACATGTACCTAATTTGATCAGGCTCATTCTCCAGCACCTTCTTTTACCCTCTGCATCCCTCCCCCTGGTCCACTTGCTCTGCTCTACTAATTGCGCTTCTATTATTATTGTTTCTGTTAGTGCATGTGATTATATGTAAGTGAGATTCATTGTGGTGTATTCGTATATGGATGTAGAATAATTTGGTGGGTTCCTTTCCCCGTTTTTCCCCCATGCTCTCTATTCTTCCTTCTCTCTCAATTTCCTTCCTCTAGTCTCTTGGTCTTATTTCTATTTTTATGGGATCCCTTTTTTTATCCCTTCTCTGACTTCCAGCTTCCACATATGAGAGAAAATACTCAACCCTTGGCTTTCAGGGTCTCATTCACTTCTCAAAATAGCAGATCAGATCAGGATACAGGCAAGAGAAGTCAAGCACCAGGGCTCAGGATTCTGGCCCCCATCTGCATTGCCCACCTCTGGATTAGGTTCAGTGATTACTGTATGGAATCAGTGTGACTGATTCCACCAAATCATGCCCAACTAATAGAAAAAAAAAATCATGGATCTTGCTTTAGACATTACAAATCCCCCAAGGCAAAGAACTATATAAGTTGAAAAATCTTTTCCTCATGTTCCCAGTGAAATAACAGCCCCTGATTGTAGCTCCCAGGGATGTATGTGTCCTTCTCCATCTGACTCCATCAGAAATGGATAATATTAAATTATGGGGAGAGAACCAAGCAATCCTGGATAATGATATGTACTAAAGGCACTTATTATTTCTCTCAAATTTGATGTTGTCCAGCAGTGTAGAAATATAAGCCAAGCACATGTTTGCCCTCCTCTCTCTAAATAAGAGGCTCACAAATTCTGCAAAGGTGGAGGAAAACAATTATGGGATTTGGGTGTGAAAACCTGTCATTCAGGTATACCTTAGTAGAACACATGAGCTATGCTATCTTATTCCAAAGGGAGTTAAGAATTTATTTGCCTTCTCTAACTTTATCCTGGATATTAAGGCTAATTCTTTATGGCTGGCTTGTAGGATTCTTATCAGCGTTTTCAGCCCATTTCCAGAAAACAATCCAAACTCTCCTGCACCTGCCTTCAAGATGTCACTCAGAGACATGGTTCCTTGCAAGAGCACCAAATGATGTACCTTATTTGGATTTAAATTTCATCCTGACATTCTTAAGCTGCCATGCAATTGGTGAACTATTCACAGAGCCATGGGCATTTGGATGATTTGCCTCATCTTCCAGTTTTTTTTTTTTTGTTTGTTTGTTTGGGGGTGGTGTTTTTTTTTTTTTGTATGAAAAGAACAAACTGATTTGCTCTTGAAAAAATATGTGAGGTCGGTAAGATAATTTGAAAATAGGGCACAGGAAATCATTAGAGATTTCTGTTCATTGTTCAGACTTTGGATCCCCTGCAGGTGAAATAGTTCAGATATTTGATGTTTATTTATACATTTTTGGGGGGTCAAAGCTCCTTTGAAAGATGATTGAAAATAAAGCCTCCCACTGTTTTTCTTACACCCCTGACACAGACTGTTTTACCTGCCTGAGATTTGTCCTCCTCATTCCACCTTCCCCTCCTGCTTTTGCCCTCTGTAGAATGGCTCAGGAGTATCTGAGTCCTTCATATACCCATCAGCCCCCTTTCAGATTGATTTAATGGTCATTGACTGCATATCAGCCGTGTTTCCATTCATCATCTTTGTGTGGACTCATGTCATTGGTCACATGGTTCACTCCATGCCCAGTGTTGCAGCCTGTGCAAAGTGGAAGGGATGCCCAGTCCTTATGGCTGGGGTTCAGAGAGCTCCAGGAATCCCTACTAGTACAAATGAAATGAGATGGGGGGTGTACTGGTGGCTAATGATCCTGTCCTCCGTGAGGGGACAAGAAAGAGATTTCTCTTTTTCTCCTTCCTTCCTTCTTTATCCCCAACCCACTAGACCCTGCCTTCTTCCCTGGTCCTCTCTCAGCATGCCTTTGGAGGAGCAGTCCTGCAGCACCTCCAGGAGAAAGGTGATGGACATCTACCATGCATCTGTCTGCATTAAAGTGCAATTTGGGAGGGAAGAAATTCTTAAGTGGAGAGATTTTAGCTTTATGTTCTGAAAAGGGCTACATATGCTTTACCTTCTTTCTATTCCAATATTTCAAGGCATAATTTGCTTCCCTGGGGGCTACCTCATTCCATCTTATGTTTCTTTCTCAAAGAGCTACAGTTATTAAAGAGTTTAGCATTTCTTCCATTTTCTTCTTCCAAAGGATTCATTTTTGCCTTGTTCAGGAGGAAATGCTAAAGCTAGGGAACGTGTGCACTTACCCTCAAAGTCACTGAGTGAATCCTCAGTGGTCAGGGCTGGAGCTTAGGACACTGCCTTTTCTGCAGATGCTGAGAGGCCCCTAATGCTATAGCTGTATAATGGATAAGTTCAGTGTGGTGATCCCTGGTCAGAAATGTCTGTAAGCCCATCTCTAGTAGGCTCCACTGAACACAGAGCTGCAGCATAGTTCAAAGTCTTGTTAAAGTTTTATTTAGAGTAGCAATCCCAGGTCAACAACAACAACAACAACAAAAATGAAATGAGGCCTGAAAAGAAGAAAATAAGAACAGAGTGGTATCTTTTAACACATAACTGCTGTCTACTTAGAACTTTCTCTGGATTAACTCAACGGTGGAGCAGGGCTGGAGAGGGAATCAATAGTACATCTCCTGTGCTCCACTGCAAAGCCTGCCCCATGGGGAATTATTTGCCCTGCACTCCAAAGTTGCATTATCTGGCTCCTCCAAGGATACTGTGGAGGCCAGAAGCCATTCCCCTGAGTATGGGGCTCTGAACTGTAGTGGAGGAAAGAGTAAAGACCCTGATGGTAGAATGACATGACCTGCATGGAGATGGTCATGGAGGAGAGAACCAGGGCAGAGCAAGCGGCCCTGAGTTTGAGAGACACTGAGCCACTGACCAAGAGTCACCTCAACACCCAGCCAACCATTCAGGACACCCTGCTAATCCTAAAGCAGATTCAGTGCTCTCATTTACAAGTGTAGGGATGAGTCCCCCTCCTCGGAGGATTTGGAAGGGTTCAAAACACAGCATTGAAACTTGTTCTGATCCAGAATACAGCTAATGACAAAACCAGTTCCTATGATATAACAAGCTGACATCCACACTTTGTTCAAAACACAAAGTTTTTTGTGTTAGCCAAATCAGGACCCACACTGGGGAGGGTAATTCTCACCAGGTAATGCAGTGATGTGGGCATTAAACTTTCCCAGCTCTGGCTCCAGTGAAAGGATCCAGCAAAGTAGAGAACTGTGCTGCTGCAGACATGCAATTCATGGAATGGGGAAGTCCTCCCCATTAGGTGTCTATGAGATAAAAATGGTGGTCATGGTATTGCCCTAAATAGGAAAGAGACCACACGCAAAGTTCTTTATATGCATTATTGCACCAAATTCCCACAACACTCTGATAAAATTGGTACTAGTATTTTCACCATTTTACAGATAATAAATTTTACAGATTTGAATTCACTTCTATATCAATCAGGGTCTATGCTGAATAAACTATTCAGAATAAGCTTACAACAGATTTTATTGCATTCTCATGGACCACTGAAAGAGAGGCAGGTTGTCTTGACAACTGTGGAAAACAGTGCCCAGCAAGATTGTTTCATTCATTCAGGATCACACAGCAAGGTACCTCTGCATGCCAGGACTGGAGTCTACAGGGGAAGAAGTTGTAAGAAAACATGGAGTGCCAGAGATGCCCACTGTGGATGCTTACACTTGGCTCCTAGTCCAATCTCATTCATGTTCACATTTCCTGTTCAGTTTTAATACTGATTTGTTTTGGTTTATCACTTTTCCCATGGGGGGGAGGAATTTTATCAATTAATCCCCATTTATCCTTTTAACAAAGGTTTGGTTTGTGGCTTCCAAAATTACTATGTGGTATCTGATTATTTGTTAGAAAAATAAGTCAGTTATTTGTCTTCATTTTTAAAAAATGTTAAACTCTCCAGGTATGGCATATATTATTGTACATTTCTTATTAGTATTTTACCACCAAAGTTCCCAAATCTTCATTTCTTTCTCATTTTCACTTGCGAAAAATTATGCTGATTACAAATTATATCCTTTATCTTGTATTAGGTCTCTGAAGCAAAATTCCCATCATTTTCATTGTTAAGTAGAATCTTTAGATACCTTATTTTAAAATCATGACTGGATGTTGGTTGGATTTGTCAAAAGCTTTTTGTGCAAGTGAAAAAAATTATATGAGTGTTTTTCTTTCATTAACTAATGTGGTAAAGTGCATTGGATGATTTGAAAAGGTTAAGCCAATCTTACAACTCATACTGGATAAACCCTAACTGGTCTTAGCTTTCATATGTTGCAGAATCTGTATGTTCCTGTTTTGCTTGGGTTTTCTGCATCTATGTTCAGAAGAGATTGATCCATATTATCCTTTGTGGTAATTTCTTTATTAAATTTTAGTATAAATGTTGTCCTACTTGTGAAGAATTCCCTTTTCTCCTATTCTGAGAAAGTTTATTTAAAATGGAAATTACTGATTTTTTTAAATCTTTATTAGCACTCACTGGTAGAACTGTCTGAGCCTGGGGCTTTATTCATAGGAATATTTTAAATTAATGATTTAATTTCTCTAATATTGGGAAGTCTAATTGGATTTTTATTACTTCTTTGCATCAATTTTAAAAAATTGTATTTTTCTAGGATCCTTTTCAATTTCATCCAAATCATCAATATGTTAATTTTCTCAAAGTATGTTTTTATTTTCTTTATTGGATGTGGATGAGTGCATAGATGGACGATGGGTGAATAGGTGGGTGGATGGATAGACAGACAAAAGTCCCCCAAAAGACAGTGTTGTTATTGTTCTATGTTGTCAGTATTTGTTTGTATAAATCCAAATATTCCATTTATTTTGATCCTCTTTCCTCCCTGAACCTTTGACCTTTAACTTAAATAACCTCCTGTTACCTAAAGAGCAACCTTTAAAATTTCCCTAAGTATAATACACTAGTAGTAAAACTTCTGTTTTGTGCTTTTGGAAATGTCCTTTTGTCAATTTTATCCTTGCAGGTGTGTTCTGTGGGTATAGAATTCTGGTTGACAGTTTCCTCCTTGGTCTACCTCAACTTCTACCAAACCCATAATACTATTGAGTAATACTATTGTTTATCAGTTCTAGGATTTCTGTTTTGTCTTTTTGTTTTTTTCTTTTTTTGGATCTGCTGTGACTTTTTTCTGTGTTCCAATTACCTGCCAAGATTTTCAAGCTGTGTTTTTGTCTCTCGAACATAATAAGCAAAAGTGTTTTATAGCTTACACCTGATAATTTCAGTATCCCCCAGGAGACTGCTTTTTCTTGTTTCTCCTTATTTTTGTGGTATATTTTCATAGCTATTCTTGATTGTATGCTGGCTATTGCTTTTTAAAAAGTATTCATGGTAATAATTTAAAGATTGGAATGATGCCACCTGCGTCTCTTTTTGTATTCAGGGCCTGAGGCACAAAAAATTCAGGATCACTTTTGAGTCCATGCTCAAGTTTCGAGTTGATGAAGTCAAGCTGTAATCCAGGAGAGTGCTGGTTTAATTCTGGTTCACTCTTTCTCTTGTGGTTTATCTGTTTGGTGTTCCCTCCTATGGCAGGGACTAGCTTACCAGGATCTCCTTTGTTGGGCTCCAAACCTTAACTTGGATGCCCACTGTCACACAAAGTAACCAAAATCTCACCCTCTTAGTCCTCTTTTATGGATGGACAAACCTCCTCATGTGCTTGACTCACTCTTCCAGCTTCTTGACCTTTCCCTGATCTTGGCCTTGTTATCTCTTTTCTTCTTATTTTTTGTTCTGATGCTTATTAAAATATTCTTTAATATCTCTTCTGAGTTTTTTTGGGGGGGAGGTTGTTTTGTTTTTATTTTGTTTGTTTGTTTTGGTGTTGTTGTTTTTAGCTTTTTTCTGCAGAAAGGTTACTAGTCTGGAATCACCAGAAGCAGAAATACTCTGGGCACGTGCCTTATGCAGGGCTGTGGGCAATTAGCACTGAGCTCACTGGGGACCTCTGGGAAGCAGAGCCAATCTCTTTCCTCCAATTTATTCCCTAAGAAGAGAGCAGATTGCTATCAGTCATAGATCAAGGCTGTTCACAAAGGGGTGTGAATTTCCGGGTTCTTCTGGTTCATTCCTAAGTCCTTAATTGTTTAGACAGAGTGTATATCTTTTGTATAACAGTGATATTTCAAATTTAGAACATTGAAGTTTTGGTTGAGGGATATAGATTTTCTGTGGCTTGAATTCCATTCCTCCTGGTAATAACTGAAACTTAATCCGTCTTTGTACTGTGTGAGTGACCAAGTGCAATGCAAAACAGACTGGCAGAGTATATAAGGAAATGGCTCAAAACAGATATGACTCCCATTCAGAAGGATAGGAAGAAGAAACAACTCCTATTTAAATAATGTGAAAAAAAAACTGAGCCTGTATTCTGGCACTTT